AGCAGTCCGCGAGCTGCCGTCGGCTCCGCGCGGGGGGGCGGGCCGGGCACCCCGGGGTGCCGAGGAGCGCTCTTTGCTTCTCTCTCCTTTCCCCCCGCTCGGCACTCCAGGGCACGCTCTATCCCGTCCTCGCCGCTCCCCTCTCCCTATTTTCTAGCCCCCTAGCAAACTTTCGGTCTCTCCTCGCTCCTCGCCCCTCGCCCGTTATTCGTCGTGGCTCGAGCCCAGCCGTGCCTCCCCGAGGGCTCCTCCCAACCTCCCAGCCTGCAGCTCCGACCATTACAGGATCCAGAAACATGTCGACCACACTTCTGTCCGCTTTCTACGATATCGACTTCTTGTGCAAGGTACGCGAGGGAGCGGGAAGGGAGGACGGCGGGCCAGCAGAAGCCCTTCGAGTGCTTAGACCTTGCCTTCTGCCCTCGGCTTTGGGGGTTCCCCCCCCGCCGCGGCTTCTCGGGTCGGGAAAATCCCGGAGTTTGTAGTAGTGTGAACTAGCGCCCTGTGGGCGGGGAGAGGGCAGGGAAGGAGGGAGCCGCTCTAAGTGCTTGGTTTCTCCGGAGCCGACCGCGGCCACGCTGCCCGGGCTTCCCGGACTGAGTTTGCGCCGCCCACCCGGCGGCCCATGGGCTAAGGATCACATGTCGAAACCCGGCCCAGCCTGGGGTGGGCGTCCTCCGTTCCTTCCAACGCGAACTTACTGCTTTGCTTGGATGAGGGTGGAGGCCAAGTCGAAATCCACGGGGGGGGGGCGTCGTGGGGGGGTGGCAAAGAGGAAAAGGAATCAGTAGACTGGGAGTTCCTCTGCAAGTCGCCCAACTCTCCCCTCCCCTTACGTTTTCCATCCCTTGCCCTCTCCCCTCCATCTGGCAGACGGAGAAATCCCTGGCCAACCTCAATCTGAACAACATGCTGGACAAGAAGGCGGTGGGGCCGCCTGTGGCCGGCGCCCCCAGCTCGGGCTTCGCGCCGGGCTTCCTCCGACGGCACTCGGCCAGCAACCTGCACGCGCTCGCCCACCCCGCGCCCAGCCCGGGCAGCTGCTCGCCCAAGTTCCCGGGCGCCGCTAATGGCAGCAGCCGCGGCCACGCGGCGGGGG